GGAAGGGAGCTCCCCAGCCACATGTGAGAGGCATGCACAGAATGCAAGTACTTTACCCTCACTCCCTTAGCATCCAGGGAACGGGATGAAAAACAAGCTGCTTTCTGGAGCACACAACAGCTGCCCCCCCCTTTTGCTCTCCCAAAATTCCACCCTTGCAGAAAAGGCAGAATAGAACTAACCTTGTGTAGGACACATGAAAATGAGAGACTAAAATGAGAGGAATGCTAAAACTCATTCATTTTACCTAAATATTTCCTTCAAAGTAATTTAATAATTTCAGGTTTGTTGTTGTTTTTCAGCCACTGCGTACACAATAGCTTTATAGTCATTGGTTTTCAACTTGTGAATCACTCTGGGTTTTAAATCAGTCATTAAGGCTGCATCTAGACTACAAGCCTCTCAAGCAGATTTTTCGAAAAAGCACAGTTTGCATTCAATTGCGCCTATTTTCAAAAGAGGCGTTATTCTTCGTAAAATGAGGTTTACCGTGATTGAAAAAACTGCCATGTTCTTTCAATTTACTTTCAAAAGAACGTGGCTGCAGTCTAGACACAGGTGAAGTTTTTTCGAAAAAACCCTGTAGTCTAGATACACCCTAAGAGAAAAATTCCTATTTGTGCTTATGCAGTGCTTTCTTTCTATAAGTTATGCGCAGAACTTTGCTTCAACATTGTAGCACATTAATACTTGACCAAAATCATGGTTACTTTGTAATCATCTCATGAACTTGAAAGGCTTTTAGTCAACGGAACACAGTAACAAAGAATCACATAACGGAGGGACCAAAATGCAAGTTTAAAGTCACAGTAATTGATCTATTATCTTTACCTGACGGTGGCTCACCTTCATTGCTGGAGCTTTAGTTAGCAATAACAGTATTTTGCTATTATCTATGTCTTGGAGGGTTGTATTTCTTGTCTCATGTTATTTTGTAACCTGTGCAGGCTTTGCAGCCATCTTCCCAGTCAGTCCAATATCCAGCGGTTTCTTATCCACCCCAGCATCTCCTGCCAGTCTCTCCAACGCAGCAGTTTCCTGTGGTAATACAGATTTTTATTTATTTTTGTGGTGATTGTTGATGTGTCTGAGGTGAGCATGTGTATGGCTGGCAGCAGTGTATAGGAATGTAGGGCATCTCCTGTTAAGGTTTTTGCAAATCTCTCTTTTACTCAACACTTCCAGAATAATTTAACATTTTATATCCTCAAAATCTGGAGGAAAACCTCCTATGGATGCAGTGTGATGTATTAAAGACTTGTGTGATGTATTTAATTAGGAATCTATAGAAACCATTGTACAGGCAGTCCCCGAGTTACGCGGATCCGACTTATGTCGGATCCGCAGTTACGAACGGGGCCCTTCCTCTCCCTGGTCTCCAGCAGACCAGGGAGAGGAAGCAAAGCGGCGGAACATGTGGGCAGTGGACAGCCCAGACGCGTCTGGGCTGTCAGCTGCTCGCGTGCTTCCGCGGCTTTGCTCTGCTTT